TTAGTTTAAGCTGAAGTACAAAAATAACTAAAACTTTAACTTAAATTAAAATGGAAACAAAACTATATATATATATATAGTTTTGTTTCCATTTTAATTTAAGTTAAAGTTTTAGTTATTTTTGTACTTCAGCTTAAACTAAGTGAATGATAGATAATGATAATAACCCTGAAGCACATCTATAATTAAAGCCACTGATTCAAAAGCTGTCATGATGTACTGATCAGTCTGTTGCTCACTTCAAGATGATTAACATCTACTATCTGCAGCTGTTGTGACAGAGACTGTTGGTCAGTGTCATGTTTCTCAGGTTCAAACACTTTCATCCAGTCCTGAAGAATAGAAATCAGTTATGTTATTAAACATCTGTGCGAACAGCTGCAGCCAAGTACTGGAGCTGTTTGATGGTGCCAAACCAGATGATACTTCATTTGTGCACTTCTTTAAACTTGGTGTACACTCTTAAGGGCTGGCCACACTAAACTTTTCATTCCAGGGACTTGCATTCATATGCATTCGAATGCAGGAGACCTGAAACGCAAGCTCATGCAAAGAAGTTGCACTTTGCACCAAGTGAAGCCAAAAGAACATTAGAGAAGCTTTCAGTTGCTCACGGCGGACTGTCTTACTTAAAGGAATAGTTCACCTAAAAATGAAAATTTTGTCATCGTTTACACACCCACAAGTTGTTCCAAAGCTGTAACATCTGAGACTTTGTTTCATATTAAAATTACTAAAGCACAATGCTTATTGCGATTTATTGGATGGGAAGTGCGCTTCAATGTTCCGTCCATTAACTGAAAACAGGCTAGACTAATTGATTCTTGGGATTTAAGAATCGATATTGTTTCGGAAAAATGAGAATCGATTAAAATCGAGATATCGATATTTTTTACCCAGCCCTATACGTGCATAGTGCTTCATTTAGGAACTTTAGTGTGAAGAATATTTTAATTTTTTTTACACCACTATAAAGAATGTTTTGTGCAATGAAAGAGTTCAAGGTTCTTCATTGAATTATTGATGCCAATAAAGAACCTTTATTTTTATGAGTGTGCAATTCAAATAAAATACACCAGGTTTGATAAACTACCAGCCCACTGTGGTGTCTGATGTCTAATTATAATGTTCTGCTACTCAGTGATGTGTGTGCCAACAACATTGAAAACAAAATAAAAAGCAATATTATTCTGCCCCCTATTGATGGCACATGGAACCTGTGCTAAACATGTATGGATTAAAAATGTACCACAATGTTTTCAGTTTTAAGTTCTTGGAGAAATTACAGAACACTTTCCTCCAAACAACTGTTAAGAAACTCAAGTTGACTGGCCTGGGAAATCTACAAGCGAGCAAACAGCAAAGGAAACCACTAATGCCAGTGAGAACCTATTTGGAAGACTGCCGATTTTCAAAGCAAGCTCTTTGTGGTCTGACTGAAAATTTCCACTGGACCCTCTGAACTTCTCTCTACTGTAAACATTCCTGCAGTGCTAACCACAAACGTATCTAGAGGGAACAAGTCCCTTTACATTGCTTTCGTTAACAACTGAGTTGCATCTTTGTTACTTTCCAGTTTAATACTATCAAGCTGCTTTGAAACCATTTCTGTTGTATAAAGTGTTATAAAAATAAAGATGACGAGATATGTTTTGCAAATAAATGCTGTTCTTTTGATCTTTGATCTCATCAATGAATCCTGAAAAAAACAAATGTATCCATAAATATATTAAGCAGCACAACGGTTTTCAATATTGAATATTAATAAGATAATGTTTCTTGAGCTCCACATCAGCATATTAGAATTATTTCTGAAGGATCATGTGACACTGAAGACTGGAGTAATGATGCTGAACATACAGCTTAATAAATTACATTTTAAAATATATTCAAATAGAAAAGTTATTTTAAATTGTAATACTACTTCCTAATATTACTGTTTTACTGTATTTTTAATCAAATAAATGCAGCCTTAATGAGCACAAGAGACTTATTTCAAACCTGTCTCCAAACTTTTGTAGTAGTAGTAGTAGTATATATGCAATACATAATTCATAAATATATATATAAACATACATTTAATTCATTTCTGTAAGGAAGTCACTTTTCTTTCTGTCGTTTTTTTTTTTTACCACCATCAAGGGTGGCTGGCTTTGCCTTGCTTTTTCTCGATATCGATGCATAATGCATAAACCCCCTCTCATTACCACATGCGATGTCCCCTTGTCACGTTTGCAGTTTTTCGACAGGATGTCGCACACCGAGGTTAAGAAACTGCAGCGACAACTCATCACACCGTAGGTGTGAAACCCCACAGGTTTCAAGAGTAGTTGACAAAAAACAAAAAATTAAACTGGATACACCTACATATTTGAAACAATTCACAATTTTAGAAATTATTAATTTATTCATATTTTAAATTAAAAACATCTGGATTTTATTTGATAACTGCAAAGGCACAACCATTCTCATGGTTCAGATTACTCAAAACACTGCCACACTTTTTCTTTTTTTTTTGTTCCCCCCCCAAGAAATGGAAACAACTTCAAAAAAGTGAAAAGGGAAATTCATTTTGTTATGAAAATGGCTGTCATACAGAGAGGATCTCCAGATCTTCTGATATGTTTCCTGTGGTTCTGTCAAGAGAATCAGAAGGAAAGAAAAGCATCATGCTGGTTTGAGATCAGTCAGCATCTACAGCAGAAATAATCATAGTTTACATACACTCTAAAAAATGCTGGGTTAAATATAACCCAGCGCTGGGTTAAAAAGGGACAAACCCAGCTATTGGGTTGTTTTGACCCAG